CATGGATACTGACTCAAAGAAAGTTGGGTTTAACTCTAGATGACACAAGTTTGAGACGATAAAAGAAAACAGCAGCTTRAAAAGGAGATGGGATCTGGAGTTTCTTTTTTGTTCCTTGAAAACAAATCACATTTTGTCCAAAACATTTATTTGGTTCAAATAATATGTCGTGAATGACTCTCAACTGTCATCACATCAAATTTCAGCTCAATCAGTGTTTACCTATAGAAAATGTTACATTTACATCACATCATGGATCAGTCAGCAGCAGCATCTGATCAATCCATGATGATCCATGATGTGATGTAAATGTAACATTTTCTACATATAGGTAAAATTAATCACTGCAATAAAATAACTTTATTTTTGTCACTTTTACAGTGGATTGCATCATCTCTGTTACATTACAGAGGGGAAACTTCACCAAAGTGAAACATAAATCTGTGGATCTGTGTTTGATTACTCTGGCTGACTTTCTCAAGAACCAGGATGTGTGACATAATAATCTGAATTTCAGAACTGAAAGTGAAAGTAGTCAAACTGAATTTTTAATAAACCAAAATAGTTTCAAAGCAAATTAATTCAGAAACAAAACTTTTAATTCAGTTTCAATCTAGTAAAATTCATTTTCAAACCGATGCATTTAATTTCAAATTATGCATACAGATTCAATCTGAGCAATTCAAATTCAATTCCTGCTGGCACAAGATTTATCCCATACTTGATCTCTTGTCTAATGAATAAAAAAAATGCTTTGGGAAAAATATATTTTCATTTTATAAAGGTTTATACATCCAGACCTTAACTTAGAGGTCAAGTCTGCWATAATTGTCATCTTWAACTGTTTTATAAWCCGTATTGCTTCATCTCTTTATTCATGATTCAATGAAATTYATTCTTGCTTTATTTTMGTAATAAATWACRGTAAAAAACAAAGCTGGTTCKTCATRTTTGAATATTTCYGTCAGAGATAAMAATMCCCTGTGRYTCTTACAATCTCACACTAAATAMGAGTGATTAAAAAGGATGAATAAATAAARATCAGTTAAATCTGATTGGTGCKCCGACTTGGCAAAAGTGTAGTGCAGTACAGAAGCTGTTATCACCCTTTCTGTCCTGCACTACACCCCTAACCTATTTGCAAGACCTGAGTAGATGGGTGTTAACTGATGTCATTAGGAATCCTTTGGGAATTTTACATAATATAGAGTAAAAAAGTTGAGCAACTTAGAGGACGGAATTATTACAATGCAAATTCTTATTAGGCTTCAAATGATTAGAAAACAAAAATTTGACATAAAAAGTGTTTTGGTTGTTTTCTGTATCTACAGGAAGTACACAAAGTAATTTATGGGACTAAGATGGAACTAAACAGTGTAATTGCTCGCAGCAGTAAGTCAGTGTTGGGTTCCAGCTGCTGTAGGCTGCAATCTGAGTTAATGAACCTCTGAATTCTGACCAAACTCGATCATTATGATGGATCTGAACTCTTGGTATTTATCCAAATTAAGCCCAGAGCGACAGAGTCTCTGATARGAACAGAAAACAAATGCTCGTTGGGGATCTTTCAGTACACATTCGTTACAACAGTTTTATTGTAAACTGCAGCTGCAGTGTGTTTCGTTTCACACAAAATGTGCATACATTTCTCTTTAACAAGTACAACTTTATTCCAAGGATCAAGAGGTTTTCTGGGCAGAACATGAAAAACATTCAGCATCAAACAATTCACAATGAAGMGGGGAAGCATTCCATTCTTATAAAATATAGAGCTTTAATTTATTAGTCAGCAAGACAATGGAGAAAGAAGAGAGAGAAATTTACACAAGTCGGAGCAAGGACACGACCTCTGCTTTTTGTTTTGTTTCGTAAAATCTGATGACAAAACAAAARGTTTAAACTAAAACCCTGTCTACACTACTCCAGATGTTTGTAAAAACTAATATTCTCTGCAATATTTGCACCTCCATTCAATACAAAAATCATTTATGTGACAAAAGGGAAGATTTTTAAAAGCTGTTTTCAGTTGATCAATGTAAACTAGGGTTCAGAGAAAATGTAGCAGCTTATTTTCTGTTCTATAAACCAAAACAACAAGGGATCCATTACTTTACAGATTTTTGAGAAGGGGGACATTATGTGGGAGTTTCTTGGGTGTGGGTGTAGTTTGGGTAAGCCATGATTGGTCAGATTGACTTGTGGGGTAAGTACAATGATAATAGTTAAATTATTGTGAACATAAAAATATAATTTATTGACTTACAGTTTGATGCAACTAGCCTATTTCTGTCTGAAATTTATAATATGATATAGTCATATTCAATGGCAATCTTTTTCCAGGCAGGTTAGGGCTGTTTGACTGAGCCGAATTATAACATATCCCTTCACCTGTATGGCTAGCACCTTCTTGTCTTATGACTAATATTATTAGGGATTACCCTTCTCCCCTACAGCCTTTAACCAACTACTCCCACAAGTCAATCCAACCAATCACGGTTAACCCAAACTACGCCCATAAATCTACCCAACCAATCACAGTTTATCCAAACTTCGCCCACAAATCAATCCAACCAATCATGGTTTATCCAAACTACGCCCACAAGTCTACCCAACCAATCACGGTTTATCCAAACTATGCCCACAAGTCTACCCAACCAATCACGGTTAACCCAAACTATGCCCAAAAATCTACCCAACCAATCACGTTTTATCCAAACTTCGCCCACAAGTCTACCCAACCAATCACGGTT